GACTGGGGAGGCCTCACAATCACGGTGGAAGGCAAAGGAGGAGTAAAGTCAAATCTTATATGGTGACAGGCAAGAGGGCATACGCAGGGGAACTCCCCTTTAAAACTATCAGATCTTGTGAGACTTATTCACTACCATGAGAACAGCATGGGGAAAACCAACCCCATGATTCAATTACCTCCTACCAGGTCCCTCCCATGACATGTGGGGATTATTACAATTCAAGGTAAGATTTGGGTGGGGACACAGAGCCAAACCATATCAGTACCCATTAAGTAATTTATCATCATCCACCCTCCTCCCACCTTCAGACCCTTCCCAGTCTCCAGTGTCCATCATTCCACACTCTATGTCCATGTGTCTACATTATTTATCTCCTACTTACAAATGAGAACATGTGGTATTTGTCTTTCTGTGTCTGATTTGTTTCACTTAAGATAATGGCCTCCAGTTCCATCTGTGTTGCTGTGAAAGATATAATTTTATTCATTTTTATGGTTGAATAGTGTTCTACTGTGTATGTATACCACGTTTTCTTTATCCAATCATCCATTGGTGGACACTTAGGTTGATTCCATATATTTGCTATTGTGAACAGTGCTGCCATAAACACATGAGTACAGGAATCTCTAAGACAATTTACATCCTTCCTCTTGCATGATCTCTTTCATCAAATTCCAACTATTTTAATAGATGGTTTACCTGCACACTTGCATCACACTTTTGGGGTTTTATTTGTGCACAACAGTACAATACAATAGGATGGTCACAATGTTGACACTCAGTATTCGAGTCTCCATTCCATTATTTGCTGAAAGAATTTAAGAAAGTCCTTTCTGAGTCTCAAGTTTCTCACCTTAACAAAAAATAATAATACTTAATGCCAAGGCAACCATGAGAGCAAATGTGCAGATATGTGTGAAAATATTTTTCATACTAGAAGGCTAAGTAAAGATTAGTTATTGTTATTAATATCAGTTACTATGAATTTAGTTATTGTTATTAATATCAGTTACTATGAATTATTCAAACATTAAATTATTACTAACTTCCAGGCATTAAGCCCTTGAACTAAAAATTTGTGTTTGAATACATATTCAAACATTTTTGAATGAGTCAGTGCAGGTACTGAGATTCCTGAGTGGCTTGAAAGGCCAGCCAAGAGGTAACAGGCATGCTTCCACCTTCAGGAAACTTGCAATCCCACAGCTAAAACTCGGAGGTGCCCTAAGGACAGTCAAACTCCCAGGAGAAAACAGGGAGGGTGGAGGGGAAGCATTTTATGGGAGTGAGAGTGGGCCCACATCCTCACTAAACCTGTTGTCCCAGATATGTGACTTCTTCCATTGGGGCCCCAATCTCTTCCTACATAACCTGGTATTAATGACCAGGAGGTCCTCTAAGTACTCACATCCCCACCCAAAGCTTAGCAAAGTCTCTGGCACACAGTAGGTATCCAATAAATATTTGTTGAATGAATGAACTCTGATATTCTAGGATGCACTTTAAGATTAGATCCAGATATGTGGAGAGGAGAGAAAGAAAGCTCTTCTGGAGAGGAAAAGGCCCACCAGCTTTAGGCTCTCAAGAAATGATTCTTGGTACATGGGTAAGGAATAATCCTTCTCCCCTTTCCCACCAGATCCAGGCCGGGTTTTCTCTGAGACCCTGACTTTCTTAGGCAGAGAATGTGTAATTATTTCTCTGTGAGTCTGTACCCCAGCTGGATAGAGTTAATAAACCAGCCAGGTCTTTATCTTAACAAGAAGTCTTAGGATCAAATTCTCCCCTCATTAAAGGCCCAGAAATCTCCCTGACAGCAGTGGGGGTTTTGCAGGCAGCCTGAAAGTGGAATTTAGTCTCCAAGTGAATTCCTCCATGGGCACAAACCTAGAGAAGTGGGGCAGATTATATTACTGGAAGAGAAAGAAGGAAGGAAGGAAGGAAGGAAGGAAGGAAGGAAGGAAGGAAGGAAGGAAGGAAGGAAGGAAGGAAGGAAGGGAGGGAGGGAGGGAGGGAGGGAGGGAGGGAGGGAGGGAGGGAGGGAGGGAGGGAGGGAGGATGAAAGGGAGGGAGGGAGGGAAAAGGAGGCAGGAATTAAAGAAGGGAGGACAAGCCTACCCCCTTTTCCTTGAAACCCTAGCCTAGCACAGTGCTGGGTACCCTGGAAATGTCAGAAAGTATACCTGGATGTTGTGTAGACAGATCTCCTTAGAGCTTGAGGAAGACACTACACCCTGGAGTGTGAATTGAATGGAGCAGACTGAGTGGCCAATTGTTTTGTTCTTTTATTTTTTTTTAATTTACAAATAATTGTAAATATGTATGGAATACAGCGTGATGTTTGATACATTTTCACATTTCACATTGCAGAATGATCAAATCAGGCTAGTTAACGTAGCCATCACCTCACATACTTACCCCTTCTTTGTGGTGAGAACATTTAAAATCTACTCCTTTTTAGCATGCAGCGTTATTCACAAAAGCCGAGATATGGAAACAACCTAAGTGGCCATCAATAAATAAATGGATGAAGAAAGTGTGGTATATGTACACAATGGTAAACTATTCAGCCTAAAAAAAAAAAAAAAAAAAAAAAAAAAAAACAGAAGGAAATCCTGTCGTTTTTGAGAACGTGGATGAACCTGGAGGTTGTTGTGCTAAGTGTACTATTCTTTACCTTAGTTACAGCTCCTGGGTCTTGCCAGACCCAGTGAGATATCTCTGGGGTCAGGGGAGTGCTGAGGCTGGTTGGGTCCCAGCCACAGGCCAAACCAAAGAGACCAGATTCAGGGTTGACAGGAAACCCCAGCGGTGGCAAACAAAATAAAGATGATTTTCAGGGTCAAAGGGCAGGGTAAGTCCAGAAATTGAAACGGAAGCAATGGATTTGGAAGCAGCGTGAAACAAAAGTAGTATGGAAAACAGCACAGAATGGGTCATAGCAAGTAGCTCAGATCCAACCCATGAAACGGAAGCAAACAGTGAGTTTCCCCTTTAAGGCAGTGCTGGGGACAGGACTAGGCTCAGAGAGACCTCAGGGCAGATGCTTAGCGTGTTTCCAAAATGTACCTTTAATTATTAAGTGCGATCCATGCACCAGCCTGTGAGCCAGGGCTCAAAAAAGATTACTTCACTATAAGCTCTAGGGAAAAGGGCAAAGCAAACCAGTAGTATTTTTCATCTTAGATAACACAGTCCCTAGTCGGCCTTAACTACAAGAGAAATACAGTTTAGGTGTTCCCTTTTGTCATTCCTAATTGCTGGAAAAGGAATCTTTGGTGTTTCTAAAAAACTGGACACAGCTAAGGAAGCTGTGCACTGGCCAGAGGACACATTGTGCCAGGGAATGCTGAAAAGATGGGACTGTGACCATCTGCAGACGGTTTGGGGCCTGGTGTGGGGTCGTGGGTCTGGGTGAGCTCTCTTAGCCCCTTCCTCTGGCTCTTTCACTTCTAAGACAATGTTGTGGGGAGATGGCAGTGGCTACATCCTTGTCTGTACTCCTCTCTCAAGCCCTCCATCTTCATTATCTCATGACCACAGGAAAGGGGTTCTGGCTAAATCAGAAGTTTTTGGTCTAGCTCTTGCTCTGGCTTCCTTGCCTGCTGGGCTACAGGGAAATCGGGAAAATAAAGAAGCCACAGTCATGCTTGTATCTGGGTATTCCATGAGTCCTTGGGGAAATGGTACCATGAGAATACAACATAGACTTAGAAAAGCGCTTCTCAGTTTGCAAAGTTCTTCTGTTTGTCTATCTTAGTGAGAAAGAGGCTCTCCGCACTTAGCAAGTGAGCCAACGAAAGCCCTCCAACATGCCCCTCCAGGCTCATTAGAGACCACACTCCCCTAGCACATACTAGGGACCAGCTATAGTAACTTTCTCCTGTTCCTTGAGCACTCCAAACTCGCACCCTCCTCAAGGCCTTGGCAGCCCCTGTTCCCCATTCCTGGAACATACTTCCCTCGGCTATTCACATGCTAGCTCCTTCTTTTTCCTCAAGTCTCAGCTCAGATGTCATCTTCTCAGAGAGCCGTGTTCACCCTCAATCAAGTAACCCCACTTCCTTGAGAATAAAAAGCACCAGAATTCAAAGCTAGACCATTCTTCTTGTGAAGGAATGGGAGGGCCATTGGGAAAGAACCCAGTGGTGAGATCCAGTGGGAAAACTTTTTAGTCCTTTTTAGCCTTATAAAGTAAGAGTGAATTTCCCAGCTACCCAATCACAAAAATTTGAGAACTGATCATCTATAATTTCCTAAATTAGCACTGGGCGCCACCTTGATGGATAAGCGAGTCCCGCTTCTGAATGGCATGGGGGCAGTAGCGTTTGCGTCCCCCGGATGCTCCTACCTAACGGCATGGGACGCTGATGAGAGGCAGCACATAGCATGAAGTTAGCAGAGGAGGCTTGTGAGGAATGTTCTGATTAATTCTTGCAAGAACTCTTTGTCTAAGACCAACAATTCTGTGATGAGTTGGGTGGGAGGACTTCTAGGCTGTTGCCTGAAGAATGTGTTTTTAGTATTCTAAGGGTAGTGGTTGTGATCCAGAATTCTCTCCCACATAGCCAGGGTGGAGAGCAAGCAAAGGGAGCCTCCTTGTCTGAGCATGTATCCTACATACTTGCATTTGTCACAAAACATCCACGCTCAGTGGTGAACTCCTACCTCCTGGCCACCCCCGCATGTCCTCCATGCCGTGCCTTTTACATGTGTGCACAAAAGAGGGAGCCCATCAGGTCCCTAGAAAGAGCTAACAGTTGAAGAGAGGAACAAGCACTGGATTGAGGGTCAGAGGACCTGGGCTTGGATTCTAAATCCACTCCTTCCTAGCTGAGTTATTTAAGCAAACCATGTTAGCCCTCTGAGCCTCAGTTTCCTCACCTATAAAGCAAGGGCTGGAATCTAACCTTAATCTGCAATTCTAGATTGCTCAAAGAACAAATGAGATAATATACTCAAAAGTTCAAGGTAATCTATAAAGAACTACACCAATATGGGATTCAAAAAACAATTCTATTTAATAAGAAAGAAAGAGTGCCAAAGAGTTTCTGAAGATATGCAAATAATCTCTTTCCTCTAAGAGCCTCTGGTGATTTGGTAGCACTGTATTATCATCAGTAGTAGCATCAGTTTTACAAAAAGACTCACCTGTAAATAAGAAACCTCCTTGAGGTTTTAAGAATGATTTGGTTTGGAAATATTCAGAAACTCTATTCACCCTAGATCCCTAGATGCATAAAGTGAGCATGGCTCTATTGTTATAAGCGTATTCTTTACTTGTCCTTTTATTTGATAGTTGGCCTTCTACCTTCCTTCCACCTCCCCAACCATCTGGGAGCTGTATTTGTTAGAGAGTTAAGACTCTTCAATCAGTAACTACCACTTACTGACTTTCTAGAAGGTGCTGAGCAAAGTACGAGCAGTTTTCATTCATTATAGCTTATCCTTGCAATGACCTAAAAGGTGAGTACTACACGTATCTCCATTTTACATAAAAGGACTCTTGTCTCAGAGAAGTGACTTTGCCAGTGTCACACAGTGCTGAAGTGACAGAGCAGGCTATTTTGGCTCCTAAGCCCTCATTTTATCCACTGCCTGGGAAAGACAGCAGGGTTTCCTACCAACATAGTGTCTTCCGCTTCCTCTACCATAGACTTGTTCATGAAGTGCTGTTGTGCTCTCCCACCCATCCCCGGCTCCTCTTTGCCAGTGGCTCCAGGCCCAGACCCATGCAGCCTTCCACGCAGCCCGTTCTGACTTCCTCTGAGGTCAGCCGTCCAAGGAAAGTTCCCTTGAAGCAGAGCAGCAGAAGTTTCCACTCCGCAGAGGACTCCAGTCTTGCCAAGTTCTCCACCAGCCAGGCTCCTGGAGGTGGGCCTCGTGCATTCTCATTGCATAAGTGTTATTCCAGCTAGTTCCTGGAATTGGAAACATGGCAAACCATTCACCTGGTGGGGAAACTCTTGCCTGGAAAGGATAGTTGTTTGGTTAGCTGTGCCCTCAGAGCCCTTTCTAGGAGACCAGTTTGTGAAAAGATTTGTTTAGCAAAGTCCATTTCTTAAGTCAAAGTTGTATTATTTTCCCTACTCTTCAGTAACCCAACACATACTTTCCCTTCCAGTGAGCGCTCAAATCCACGTTAGCATCTTCGATCCTAGTTCAGGCCCTCCCCACCCCTGACTGAAATCACACCATGGCCCGCTTGCTGGTCTCTGAGACGAGACTTCCTGCTTCCCGCATGGTGCAGCTCTGGGCCAGCCTCCACATGGCAGCCGGGAAGATCTTTCCAAAGGCCAATCCTATTACATGAGGTTCTAGCATAAAATCCTTCAATGGCTCTCCAGCACCTGAAAAAGAAATATGTCCCTACTGTTTGAATTGTGTGCAACGAGAATGTATGATTGTTATAATTTGAAAGAAAGTGTTTTAAAATACTTCTTTAGCTATGCTCCCCTCTTCCTAGGCTACACATTTCTTGAAATGGGAAATGCATCTTTTTTGTCTCTATATCCATAGAACACAGTTCAGTGCCCTACACATAATAGATAAGTACTCAAGATATGTTTATTAACATTCAATAAACTGATACCAGTTAATCAGAGCTCATGATGAGTAATGAGATATTCAGTGTAACTAGACTGGATTGATATAATTCTAGCTAAAACAGTTTAGGCAGTGTGTGCAACACTATCTGAGATAAAGGTGTATTTCCTTTATAATTTTTGATATTGAAAGTGGTTTTTCCAGGTGCAGTGGCTCATGCCTGTAATCCCAGAACTTTGGGAGGCCCAGGTGGGAGGACTGCTTGAGCCCAGGAGTTTGAGAATGGCCTGGACAACATGGCGAGACCCCATCTCTAAAAATAAATACAAAAAAATTATCCCAGTGTGGTGGTGCGTGCCTGTAGTCCCAGCTACTCAGTAGGCTGAGGCTGGAGGATCCCTTACGCCTAGAAATTTTAAGGTTACGGTGAGCTATGATCATGTCATTGTACTCCAGCCTGGGTGAAAGAGTAACACCTTGTTTCAAAAAAGAAATTAATGTTTTTTTAAAAAGAAAGAAAACGGTTCTTAGACCTTCTCTGTTAATTCATATTAGACTAGAACTCTAGATTGGAGTCCATTAATTTGTGCAAGTCACCCTTTTACTGATGAAGGAGTTAGTGCTCTTCACATTGCCTAGGGGCTCTCATTTTTATGAACTCCCAGAGCAGAACAAGGTAATGAATGGAGATTGCTAGGAGAACAATTTCAGCCCATGCTTTATACGCTCATCTATTTAGGACTTCAATTATAGTCTTTCCAGCAGCTTATATCTCAGGGGGTCAAATCTATATTCTGCCCTACTAGCTCTGTGACATGTAGCAAATTACTTCTCAAGACTTCATGTTTTCATCTGTTCATGGGTTAGGTTATTAAAAATAAATGAAATAATATATATAAAATACTCCCTATATTGGCTGATGCATTCTAGGAACACAGAAAACCCTTGAAATTATCAAAATTACTTATGCACGAGTCTATTTCTCTGTTGCAAGATTGGGCACCTGAATGGGAGGAACAGCGTTTCTCTCAACCCGCCTTCCTCCTCACCTTCCTAGGTGATGATCCTGAATTGATTGGGTGTTCAGCTAATTATTTTGGAGAGGAATTGACATAAGGTCTGGATGTATTGCACCACTGACCTTTAGCAAGAACGAGGCCAAGGCTACAGGAATAGCAGTGAGCCCTAATTTAGGTTTGCATCTGCCAGGCAAAGAAAACATGCTGCCAGGAGAAAGCAGTAGATGGTTTAGTCTTCCAAGAGGTCTTCCAGAAGAACATTTTATTCCCTTTCTTAATGAAATTACCCAAATTTTGGATTTATCCTGCAGTTCCAGAGGCTCAGAAACCTGACTTGATCAGACTCCAAGAGCTGTTCCGTCTCTCCTACACACCAAGAGTAATCTCCTGGAAGCTGTATTACTCAGATATTACTATACAGTGAGATTAAGAAGCTACCAGCACACGAACGTGGAATCCTCACATTGGCCCAGCCAAGGCATTCTCTTACCCTGGGCTGCAGCGCGTGGGATGTCACGTTCACACTCTGAAGGCTGCCAGGTGAGTGAGGCATCAGCACAAGAGGAGTTACGTAAATAAACTATCTAATAGCACCCAATTAAGATAGCCACATGTGATTCCTAGCTCACAGCATGGATAAAATACCAACATTTCCCTCCATTGTGACTCTGCTTTTCTTTTTTCTTCAACTAGATTTAAGATCTGTGGTCGGATTAAGATCAGCTGACTCTCACCGTCCTGGGAGCCATCCTGTCTCCTCACTAATCCTCCTGTCCCTATCTTAAACTTTAACTCTCAGAGGATAATTTTGTCACCACGTTTCCAAGGTCTCTCAAGAAGTTCCTTGTGATCCTGTGTACTGGTAACAATAGTTCTCCTTAAAAATAGTCTGTTACAGTGAAATGAACATAAAAATCTATAGTCTAGAAACCCGAGTTAAAAATAAACTCAGATGCTTTGACTTTGATAAAATGAACCTCATCATCTGTTAAATGAGAATGAAATGTTAATAATTACTCCTCCAGCGCAGTGGCAAGGGCCAAATGAGGTCAGGGGTGTTGTCTACCCCATACAACATGTTAGGCATTATTTTTCTTCTTTTTATATAAAGTCTGGGAATAAGAAAGACACAATTTGACTCTCATTAAAGCAGTTTATAATTGACGCAAGCAGAAAAACCACCCTTCAAATATGAGGCAGGATGAAACACTCAACCACTAAGGAGCTGTCCTCTTCCAGACCATCCACATCTCTTTTGTATCTGAAATACTGGCCCCAGACTTCCCTAGAGGATATGTCTGAGGAAACATCCAGTTGGATGAATTTCCTAAAGACTCGTCTGGGGAGAGGTTCGATGTTTTTGCCCCATCTTGCATATAAACTTGAAATTTCAGTGATATGAAAGCCAAGAATTGGGTGGAGATTCAACCAGAAAATAGCCAGACTTTCTGGATACCAGAAGGAGTTCACTTGGAGTTGGATTGATTTAGCCATCATGTAGTAGCAGACACATGGATTTTTTTTATAGTGAGCACTCACCAGCCCACTCCTCACAGAGTATGAACAGTATTTGGCAAGTGAACCTACCAGCTAGATGGTCATCACCTGGGGTCACCTCAAACGTGACCGTCCAAAAAACAAAAAAACAAAACCAAAATAAAACAAAAAAAAAGTGAGGTCCTTGCAAAACAGCAGCTGTTGTTAACTGCAGAATGGTATGCTGTTGAAACCAAAGCAGATGTTTTCTTACAGCTTTTTCATTCTATGACCAGCGTTGACTCTGATGCCTCATACTTCCTAACATTGCTTCAGCAAGATAGATCTCCTGACCATAATCCTCTGATGCCAAGACCATTTCCTATCTTCTTATCTTTGCTCATTCTGTTATCTGTCAACAATTAGCAGGGAAGGAGGGAACACAGGGTCTTATCTATAAATCCCTAGTATCTAGCATGGTATCTAGGGCAAGAAGTAGCTTGAGTGTGGGGTAGATGAACAAGTCGGTGAATGAATAAACGGCAAGTAGACAAAAGACTAAATTAGTGAATGAATAAATTAATAAATAGAAGCCTGTGCTTTCCTTCCTCAAATATGAACTAATTGACTTTCTTACTTTATTCTGTTATGGACCAGACTATGTCATTTTGATCACACAGTAGGAAAACAAGTCATTGAAACCTAAAAGATCAAAACAAGTTGTATATTTATTGGATTTAATTCCCAACTCTATGGTGATAGCCTAAGGAAACCTGGTCCCAGAACTGAGATCTAGGTACACTGATTAGGGATGAGCTCTAAACAGCAACCCGTTCCCTTAAAGTGATGGATTGATTTTTAAAAGTTCAGGTTGTGTCTCCATGATGAATGACCTAAGTCAATGCCACTTCTCTTCTTATGTCAGAACAGGATCCACAGAGACAAAAACAAACTGATATTTTTCAAGTGCCCAGATCCCTGTGCTTTTCTTACAGCTGCTGTGTAACATAAACATCGTTTTCCTTCATTTTACTGCTGAGAAAGCTGAGTCTTCAAGAGATGACATGACTTGCCCAGAGGCACATCCTTAGTTCACAGATCTGAGGTTCCAATCTAGACCCATCCTTGTTCTTTCCACCCAATACTTGAGACCTAGACCCATCCTTGTTCTTTCCACCCAATACTTGAGACAGCTAGGCCAGCAATTCTCGAACTTGAGATACCTGGGGGTATCTTTAAAAACAAAGTTCTGAGCTTTCCCCTCAGGTGTTCTGATTTGTTAGCTATGAGATGAGGATGAGAATTTGTATTTCTAACAAATTCCCCAATGAAGTTAATGATGGTGGTCCAGGGGTCACACTTTGAGAGCCACTGGCTAAAGTGTTAGAAAGGATTATTAACTGTAGTTAATGGAAACCAAGTGGAAATAATGTGAGCCAAAAGGAGCATTTTATCATAAGAATGTAAGGGTATGTCCTGAAATGCAAAGCAAAGAACATAATTGGATCTCAAGTAGGTTCTGGAACCAGAAACATGTCTCTACCTCCATCTTTCATCTCTATTTGTCTGTGAAGTGTGTTTTATTCCTTCCCCTGCACTTATACTTGTTTACAAATCTGCCCTCCTGTCCAGATAGACAACATGACTAGCAGCATCTTCTAAGGTTATACCATTCAGAGCCATCAGTCCAAAGGAAGTCTAAGCCTCTCTCACTAGATCACTTCCAAATTCCCAGAGACTGACTTGAGTTCTTGACATTCCTGTGCATCCAACTAAGGTATGAATGGGATTGTACAAAGCAGCTACCAGAGTCTCATCACTGTAACCATATAAGTTGACAAAGAAGGGTAGTTGATGGAGAAAGAGATTAGATAGCAAACCCAATGGCTACCCACAAGAGCTGGGGTGCATGACGTGTGCATACAGATAAGTAAGAAGTGAGGGAGTTCTCCTGAGCCAGCATACTGACTAGAACACAGGTGAACAATGGCTGGGAAGTGTTTCAGAACATGGTGCAATGGGCTTCAGAAATAACACTTTTTTCTTGGACTAGAGGAGATGCCATAAGCAGTAAATCCATCTGGTTTGCAAATTCTCTTAATCAAGCCTACACAGACAATTCCTAGGGCTAAATAGAGCCAGTTCTGTTTCTTAGAAGGAGAACAATGGAATGTGGAATGTCAATCCAGCGCTGCTAGCCAAGCTGGGTCAGGGAAAAGGCACGGATTACATTCATTAATGTTCTGCAAACCCACCCAATTCCCACCCCCTTCTTGCCGATCTTCACTCCACCCTGCAAGGGAAAAGCCTGAAGTTGCTAAAGAAGAGTTGAAACTAAACTTGAGGCAGATCTGGTCAGATGTTCAGTGAGGACTCACCATACAGGCACCAGCAAAGACCCAGTACTCCATTTCCAAGAAGGAGGCATTTCCAATAGATGCTGCTCTGTGTGTGGCTGAGCTAGGATTTCTTTCCCTGGGTTCCATAGAATAATAGCTGGGCAGCTCCTCTGAGTCACAGGTTTACTTGCTGGGAATTCACGTATTGGGAATCTGGAGAAAGAAAAGTTCTGGTGGGAGGCATAGTGGAAAGAACATTGAACTTAGGATCAAACCTTGGCAGATTCCACTGCTGGCCCTGACAAACCAAGAGACAAGAGACTGTCCCAAGTCAGTCAGTTAAACTCTCTGCACTTTCATCTCCTCCACTGAAATTGGGGAGCATAATTCTCAACGTCCCTTTGATTCACTAGGTTGCTGCAAATAGCAGATGTGATTGGCTGAGAATGTCATGCATGAGGTTTAGCTGCTGGCCAGCACAAGGCTACCACTGGCATATATGAATTATTTGAATTAGTAAAAGAAGCCCCTTCCTACGTGTCAGGGCTTATGGCTTAGCAAGCTGAGTGTGGGTTGCATTTCACCTCTCAGCTAGGCACCCTTGCACAGTGTTAAAAGATAAACTGAGGCACATTAAAAAAACAAAGAGTTTATTTGAGCAAGCAGCAATTCATGAATCAGGCAGCTTCAGACTACAAATAGTTTGTGGGCTCCACCAAAGGGGCAGACGAGGAAGAATTTTATAGGATGAATGTAAGCAGAGCAAAGAAATATGTCAATTAGTTAAAGTTTAAACAATTGCCGTATTTGGACTATCCTGGTAGGAAGTTCATGACAACATAACTAATGCCCAGTTGGTCACCTGTGATTGACTGAGCTTGAGTTTTGTTTTCTTTTAAATTCTGAGTTAGGTTTCAATTTGATTATGTAGGAGCCTGGAGCATCAGAGCCACCTAATCTAATGGCCTCCCATTTAATTATTTTGACAACACCTCCACAGTCTTTATGGTGGCCCCTGAGTCACAGTACCTTCTATAAGAATAAGATAAATCTTCACGATATAGAAGCTTCAGGGAGGTCTCATCAGTCAATGTGGTAGCATGAGGCAAGGAAAACAGTCAAGACAGCCATACCACTATTGTCCTGATCCAGGTTAAAATTTGTCCAGAATTCTCCCCAGGTAGAAACCCATTCCTGAATCAAATGAGAAAGGCAGAGGAGAGAGTTATACATTTGTTTACACTGACATACCTAGCTGGAAATTTCTGAGCCATCAAGAAAAAACATAGTCCTTTAGACGTTTCAAGGTGGTTGGTTTGAATTTGCATATTTTCACAAAACCCCCTCCAGCATCTCCTTCCTGGGTCTTACTATATTAGGCCTATACTTACAGTTCTTTTGAATTATCATGTCTATATCATGTGGGTAAGAGTTTGGTGTTTAAAATTACATAGAAGCTATGTATTCCCAGTACCTAGAGTCCACTAACCCCAGTGGGTGTCTAACCTATTTGTCTTTTTTTTCCCTTTTGGACATCTACTTTCTTCTGCTTCTATCTTTGTCTAAAACACAATGAGACCTATATTTCTATTCAAATTTATGTTCTATTCCAATACTCTACATTGCTCCATTAGTCATGGCACCTGAACCTAGTACCTGGAACCACAAAGAAGAGGCACATAGCACAATCCTGTTCTTTGTGCACTTAGTACTGAACTAGGTCCTTATCTTTTCCCCAAACCTCACTCTACCTTCCTCTTGACCTAGATTCTGACTTTATTGGTTTTTTTTTCTTTTTCTTTTCCTTTCTTTTTTTTTTTTTTTTTTTTTTTTTTTTTTTTTTTGAGGCAGAGTCTTGCTCTGTTGCCCAGGCTGGAGTGCAGCGGTGTGATCTCAGCTCACTGCAGCCTCTGCTTCTCGAGTTCAAGTGATTCTCCTGCCTCAGCCTCCTGAGTGGCTGGAATTATAGGTGCACACCACCATGTCTGGCTAATTTTTGTATTTTTAGTAGAGACGGGATTTCCTCATGTTGGCCAGTCTGTTCTTAAACACCTGACCTCAAGTGATCTGCCTGCCTCAGCCTCCCAAAGTGCTGGGATTACAGGCATGAGCCACTGCACCCAACTTATTGCTTATTTTTCGTTTATATCTTCACCTTCCTCATGAGCTTGATCCTCTACACCTTCCCCGCTACTAAAGATATTGATATCACCTCCCAGATGACATCATACTAGTTCTCTCCTCACAGGTTGATTTTCGGGGTAAATACCTCTCCTGGTTTGGCTGTGCTCTGGAGGCCTCCCACGTTCATCAAACCCACTTCCCAATGAGTTATATGCCCAAGAGGCCACTCACCCTCATAAATAGGAATAGAATAAGTAGAACTTAGGGGAAAATCTTGGTGAAATTTGGAAGGAGCAGGAAGGTGTGCCTGCTTCATGAGGGGAGAACCCGCATGCATATCCTTGGGAGGAAAGAGATCATGAACTTCCTGGAAGTAGAGCCTGAACTCTATACTAGGAGTGGACTAGTGGAAAGCCCTCCACCAAAAGACAAGTTGTAAGAGGCCCAAGAGAGATGTAAGTATGTTCCATATAGAGTCAAATGAAAAATCAATATAGGTTCTCTTTAATGTTGATTATCTGGCTGGGTGTGGTGGCTCATACCTATAATCCCAGCACTTTGGGAGGCTGAGGCAGGTGGATCACTTGAGGTCAGGAGTTCAAGACCATCCTGGTCAGCATGGTGAAACCCCATCTCTACTAAAATACAAAAATTACCCTGACATGGTGACACATGCCTGTAGTCCCAGCTACTTGGGAGGCTGAGGTACTAGAATCACTTGAGCCTGGGAGGCAGAGGTTGCAGTAAACTGAGATCGTGCCACTGCACTCCAGCATGGGCAACAGAGCGACACGCCATCTCAATAAAATTTAATTTAATGTAAAGGTTGAATTAAACTAAAGAGCTTTTGCATGGCAAAAGGAAAAGTCAGAAGAGTAAGCAGACAACCCACAGAGTGGGAGAAAATCTTCACAATCTATACATCTAACAAAGGACTAATATCCAGAATCTACAATGAACTCAAACAAATTAGCAAGAAAAACACAAGCAATTCCATCAAAAAGGGGCTAAGGACATGAATAGACAATTCTCAAAAGAAGATATACAAATGGCCAACAAACATATGAAAAAATACTCAACATCACTAATGATCAGGGAAATGCAAATCAAAACCACAATGTGATACCACCTTACTCTCACAGAATGGCCATAATAAAAAATAATAATAAAAATAGATGTTGGCATGGATGTGACGAACAAGAAACACTTCTACACTACTAGTGGGAATGTAAACTACTACAAGCACTATGAAAAACAGTGTGGAGATTCCTTAAAGAACTAAAAGTAGAACTACCAGTTGAACCAGCAATCCCACTACTGGTTATTTACCCAGAGGAAAATGAGTCATTATACAAAAAAGGTACTTGAACACACATGTATATAGCAGCACAATTTGCAGTTGCAAAAATGTGTAACCAACCCAAATGCCCATCAATCAACGACTAGATAAGGAAACTGTGGTGTATATGTATATGATGGAATACTACTCATCTATAAAAAGGAATGAAATAATGGCATTCACAGCAACCTGATTGAGACTGGGGACTATTATACTAAGTGAAGTAAATCAGAAATGGAAAACCGAACATTGTATGTTCTCACTTATAAGTGGGAGCTAAGCTATGAGGATGCAAACGCATAAGAATGACATAATGGACTTTGGGGACTCAGGGGGAAAGGGTGGGAAGGGGGTGAGTGATAAAAGAATACAAATTGGGTGCAATGTATACTACTTGGGTGATGGGTGCACCAAAATCTCACAAATCACCACTAAAGAACTTACTCATGTAACCAAACACCACGTGTTCCACAATAACTTATGGAAATAAAAAATAAAAATAAAAATAAATTTTAAAAAACATAAAAATAAAAGTTTTGACTTTAGAAAAAAAAAAAAAGTTGCTTATCAGTTCATGCTTCCGGGGATGTTGCCTATATCTTTTTAAGCTCTGTATACCTTTCTTTAATTATTGACTGTTTCTGATTTGCGGGGTTCTCCCTGCTTCCAGGATTGTTCCGCTCACATTCAGCCTCAGAAGTAGCCAGAGACTTTGCTATCTGCCTGCTGAGAATCCATCACTGGTTTCCCATCTCTGGTGAAGCCTCAGCTCCTTGGTCTGGACACATGCTCTGCAGGACTCAGGCCTGCCTACTTATTAGGCAGCTATCTCCATCACAAGACTGTCAGTCCCTTGAAAGCAGCAACTTAATCTTCATTTCTGTGTTCCTATCACTGAGTGCCACACCTGACACATAATGGACACTCCAAATGGTGATTGTATCAATTGATGAATTAATCAGTATCACACCAAAGTGCTCCCAGTTGAAATCCAATTCTGATTATTTAATTTCTCATCTTTCTGTGAGAAACAAATCAAGGTGCTTCATTGTTTTCAACCCCATCAGTGGGCCCAGACCTTGCCAAAGCAGACCACAGGACTGAGGGATTCTGCCGACAGGACTGCCTCCCACATCAGTGTCTGTAAGACCAAGGTCCTTGAAAACTTAGCCTGCTCAGCTGTAGAAGTGCAAAATATCTAGTAGCCACTGAGAGCCTGCAGTTAAGCAGATATTTTTCTAGTCTGAACCCACACACCCAGATAGCCCCAGGGGACACTAAGGCCAAATGAACGTCCGCTCGCACAGGAACTTGACTCCCCACGGAGGCCACCCTAACACCAAGCCCACCCGTCTTACTGCCCAACACCCGGTGGTCTGACACCCACTTCCTCTTCCACGTTCCACAACAATGACATCTCCTGCAGTCCAGTCTAGCTTCTGTTCCCACTTGCCTTCATTCCAGAATGCCTCATGGAATGGTTTCTGTTTCCAAGTTTTCTCCCAAGAATGAGAAAATCCTCTGCTGTCCGGCAAAGCCACTGCCTTTTATTGCACTCAGCAGGCTTTAACTGAAGAGTTCTCTCAATGGTTCACTGCTCTGTGAAGCTGGTAGCTGCTTTCTTACCATAGATCCTCCTTACCTCTCCAAGGCACAAAATAGCCCAGAAAGGGATGCACGAAGCAAACATCAGCCAAGTAGACACTTGTCGACCTGGTGACATTTCTGCCAACTTGTGACTCTTTACATGGGGAAACCTGGCAGGCAGTTGGAATGGGGATGCTGGGGAAAGGCTATATATGTGCTAGAAAGAGCAAGGACTACAAAGCCAGGAGGGTTTGGTTTGGTTAGGGTTAGGTTCTTGCAACTGGTTGTGGAATGTCTGACAACTCATCTTTCTTAGCCTGCTTTGCCAACAATCTATGAAGTTAGGCAGGTAGGAATCTGCCTCATATTAGCAAGTAGAGGATCAGATAGCCTATGTCTTCCCTGGCCACCAGATCCTTTCTTCGTAAAAACTAGAATAATTCTCCCTTGAATCTTCTCAGCAACTTTCTCAGGTTTAGAGTGGTTTAACAGCTTTTCAAGGACATATATTTACTGTATAGAACTTGGATGGAACATGATTCTATCTCATTTCCAAACCTCATCTCCCGAGTTTCATGTTTTCAAAGTAAAATAAGATATATTCATAATCTCTGCCTTTAGCGAACTCAAGTTTCGGAGCAGAAAAGCTACACTTACATCTAAAAGTGAGTGTTTTGTGCCTCTGTATAGTTAGGAGAGTCTTCTTGGATGAGATGAGATATACGGGCTTTGAAGAATGAATTTGATCCACCCCTTTTTCTCCTGACTACTGGAAAAACTGGATCAAAATTTGTGGCTTCCCAGTAGCAAGTATAATAGACCTGTTAACATCTTTAATATAAGTACTTTTCTCACCTGCCTATAGCTTTTTCCTCCTTTCCTAGGTTTTGTTTATCTTCTCTTTGCCACACAATTTTACTTGAAGTGTACTTTATCTTGTTTTGAGTATATCTTTGAAAGTAAGCTGCATTCAACTATTTTGTAAACTAGGTAGAGGATAGGTAAACAGATTATTCACAGCATGAGAGTAGTTCTCTACTCCACCCATACCTAAGTGTACACAGGCAAATATAGCCACTGCTTGGCCAGTTACTGGTTTCAGTGCTTATTTTTTGTCAGCCCCCTGACTTCAAAGCTTTCTCATTTCTGCAGTTGGGACCATTTGCCCTCGCCCACTCTACCTATAGCTCCCTAATTACAGATCTTGAGGCCCCCTGATGTGGGCAGTTGGGGTTTGGAGGAACAAGTACATTAACCTGCTAGGCCTGCTCTGAGGATGTTCCCACTTTCAGTGAAAGTGTTCAGAGTACTTCTTTCAGGCCACGGCTCAGCCCTATCAGAAGTGCTGGGTCCCCAGCTATCCCGGGACCCAGCCCCTGCTGAGATTTCCTGTCCAATCCCCAAATTCCTCCTGGATTAGCATTTCACTCTTGCCAGACCCCATCCTGGAGCCTTCAGTCCTAGCACCAACCCAAAAGCCTTCAGCTGTGGTGGGAAATGAGCACAAAGCGGCAAACAGGAGACATCAGGCACAAACTTGGAAGGAAAAGAGTCAAGGCTGTGCTCAGAGTTGACCTCTAAAATCAGTGGGTCAGAGCAGAGATACTGAGTCACCTCAAGAACACAGAAGGGCTCCTTGACACAAGAGGCTGAATACCCTACATGACGATGTCGACATTTCTGAAGAAACATGAGTCATGTTGCAGAGGTGACCCACTATTAAAAAGAGAAGGTCACAAAGTCAAACCAAGGGGCTCTGCCTGTGGAGAAGATTCTTCCAAACAACTTGTATTGGCAGCCCCGTTGGTAGGACCATCCCTACTATGTGATAATTGAGATGCCTTATTCAGATGACATTATGCATTTCATATGTCCATTTCTCCTTGTTCCCATTTCATGCTTGCCACACAACCTTGCATACAGGATTTCATTTTCCCAGTAGGTCTGATTTCAAGGAAAGCATGAGTGTTCAGGCCAATTGGAGAATTCCAACTCTGGAACCCTGATTTAGCAAGCTAGTAATTTGGTTTCTGAGATCTCCTTCAATCTTATGAGCATAGTCTATCCTTCAGAAGCTACCCCTGAGTCGCACTGCCAGATACATCTACTCACAAGGGAGATGTCTATGTCTAAAAGTCTGCAGGAGTATGGAGAATTCACCAAGGGACGGAATGTCAAGTTGTGAAACTCTTTGCCGGCTGAGTCATTTGGGGACCTTGTGTAGCACATGCAGCTCCCAAGAAGAGCACTCTTTCCCACATTTGAGATTCTGTTTCTCCCCAATTCCTGTGGGCTGCTGCCCACAGGAGTGGATGTCTGCTCCCCACTGTCTGCCTCCTGTTGGGATGCCAGTATACCTCCTTCCCATAATCGACCTCGCTAGCCCTGGTGGATTTCTTAGCACCAGCTCTCTGTCTGGACTGCCCAACACAGTCCCCAGGGAGCAAGCATACTTTGGTAGGTGAGTACTGTGTAGCTGGACCACTCTCCAACCAGTGGGTGAGAACAGTTGCCAGCACTCAGCCCCTCTCCATCCAACCTGTGCTACTGGCCTTACCAAACTCAGACTCATACTTTCCCTCCCACCTGGCTCCCTGACCACTTCTACCCAACTCAGCTCAGGCAGGAAATGGTTACCTGGTTACCTTGGGTAACCAACATATTAAGACTTTTCATATCCTAATACAGAGCATTAGTCAAACTGGATCAAGAGGCAAGAAAGTGAGATTGAAAGAATATGGACTTATTAAAACAAATATTTCATGTTTGGCTATCCAACAAGCAAAAGTCTTTTTATACTCACTTTTTGTTGAAGATGCAGGGAAACAGGAATATTCACACACTTGTGGTGGGAAATTAAATGTTTGTAAGTTTCCTGTTGGGGGGTCAAGTTGGCAATATGGTATATTGAAATGTCTTTAAAACCAAAATGCACTTTTAATCATCAATCTCACTTCTAGGAATTTATCCCAAGGAAGTAAAGATACACACAAAGATTAAACTACAAGGATGCTTACCGCAGCATTTTTAATATTAGTAAAAAGCTAGATGTAATCTAAATATTTAGCAACAGAAGATCAGTTAAATAAACATTACATTCATAAAATGAAATACTATGCAGTCTTTTTAAATAATACAGAAATATGTTTATAGATACAGAAAGACATTTATGACACATTGGTTTTTTTTGTTTTTGTTTTTGTTTTTTGAGACGGAGTCTCGCTCTTTGCCCAGGTTGGAGTGCAGTGGTGCGATCTCAGCTCACTGCAAGCTCCGCCTCCCGGGTTCACGCCACTCTCCTGCCTCAACCTCCGGAGTAGCTGGGACCACAGACGTCGGCCACCACGCCCGCCACCACGCCCGCCACCACGCCCGACTAATTTTTTGTATTTTTAGTAGAGACAGGGTTTCACCATGTTAGCCAGGATGGTCTCGATCTGCTGACCTCGTCATCTGCCCACGTCGGCCTCCCAAAGTGCTGGAATTACAGGCTCGAGCCACCGCGCCTGGCAACACATTGTTAAGCAGAAAAGCTAGTTACAAATATATACATTGGGAAAAAAATCTGGAAAGACATCAATGTGATTGTAGCTCTTGTATCTGAATGGCAGAATTTATGGATAATTTTATTTTTTTGCGTGTTTATCAGTATTTTCTCAATTTTAGATAATAAATATGCTTTACTTGTGTAATAGAAAATAAAATAAAATACAATTTGCTTTTTTAAGGGGTATGGACATGGTATTCACACAGACTTGGGTTCAAATCCCAGCTAGACCACCAAACAGCAGTGTGACCACAGAGACATTACTTACATCGCCTGAGCTTCAGCTTCTTCATATCCAACATGGATATAACGGCACTTTCCTCATGAGGTGGTCTTGAGGTTTCCGCGTGAAAGCATAAATAAAGTGCTTGGCGCAGGGTAGATACTGAGCTACATTTTCCCCCTTTCTTCCTGGATGTCCAAAAATAACTGAGAAAACCATTTACAAGTACAACATGTTCAAACACGCCAAGTCATGTAAAATGTAGATCCGGAAATTATGAGAGACTAGTATTGAGTGCTTCCGCCTAACTCTTTTCTCTCTGATCTCCCCAACTCCATGCAGTGCAGCCGCAGATGCAGAGATTGCCGTTATTAACCAAGGTGTCTTGAAGGTTCGGAGGCCCTCCAGGTGGACTAAAGCAGGCTGTGTTACCCAGCCCCATCAGCAGGTGGGGTCGGTCTCACCTGGGTTCCTCGTTCAGCCTGGAACGCCTCCTCACCAGGCATCAGGCTGTATGTCATAAGGGGCTATTCCATCAGTTACTGCACACATTCGAGACCCTCTCTCACTCTATCTGCTCCCACCTCAATCCAGTTCCTGTTCGTGCCTCCGCCTCCATCTACCGTCTCACTCTTACCACTTAGGATTTTAGCCTCTTCATAGGGGAACTTGGTTATCTATCAGGATGCTGTCAGGAATTTGTCCTGCCTTCTGCCAACTACTCATTCATTTCCTCACCAAACTTTATAACTGCTTAATGGGTGCTAAGCTTTGTGCTAGGACTAAGAGATGAATCAGAGACAGCAGACCCTGATCTTGGGGGAGCGTCACAGCCTACCCCAAGGCTTCAGGTGGGGAAAACAGACTGGAACACAGACCATAACCAATAGCTATTATAACAGCACTACAATGCTGTGTTATAGTAACTATTATCATTATAATCCTTACCTAACACTTGTTATATACTGGGAGTTGTTCTAAGCACTTTATATTATGTTAAGCTTCACTTAAGCATTACAGCCTACCTACGAGATAGGTTAAAACGATCTCTATTTGATAGATAAAGGAAGTGAGGCACGGAGAAGTAAAGTAACTGGCCCAGGATAGCACAGTTGGTAAATGGCAGAACCAAGATTTGAACTGAGGCTTCTTTCCACTCTGAAAAATGACCGAGGATTCTAAAGGAGGTTTTGTTTATGTGGGTCATGTCTAGTGATATTTATCATGTCAGAAATTAAAATAGAGAACTTCTAAAAACACTTATCAATTCCCTTAAAACAACAATAATAAACCTGTTACATATTAATCTAAATAATAAATTTTAACGAAAAAAATCCGTAGCAAAATTAGTAAGAAGAATGCTATTGTTTCACATGTTTGCAATCTCTTTAATGTCTGACTTATTAACATACAAAGTAGATTCACATATCTTTTGCATTCAGCCTATTGTCTTGTGTTACTTGATTGAAGTATATGAAGAAACCTGGCCTCAAACAGTCATGAAGTTGGATAAGGGAGAAGCATTTTAATAATCTGTTCAGATAACTGTGGACATTCCTCTTTGATAGTACACCAAAACTCGACAAGTGGTGGATTTTCAAAGGGTCACTGCCATGTGGAATCTGAAACCAGCTCACAGTGAAAGATACAAGTTTTCAAAAATCCCAATTGTTCATTTGAACTCTCAAATTTTATCACTGGCAGTACATACTGACATTTGTTTTTCTTGAAGTAACTTCATTTCCTTGAAGCCCTGACTTCATCATTTAAATACATATATGTGTGGGTGGATACGTGTGGGGGTGTGTGCAGGTGTTGTGTCTGCCAATTGCAGCGTGTTTGTCAATTGTTCTTTCCAGGAAAATGGTTTTCTATGGAGAAAATGGCTACTTCAGCTCCCAACACACTCACTCACTCCGGTGCTTTTCCTTGAGACCACCACTGTGCTTTTGTAGGCAACAGAAAAGCTTTACCCACACTTCTCATCTCATCACACCAATCATTAAAAAGACAGGCCAGGCACTCGAAGGCTGAAGTTTAACAAATTTGATCATTTTTATTGCTTCATCAAGGACATTAAGTGAAACTGTCTTTTTTCTTCCTACCATGCGCATGTGGTGGTGAGTAATACAATGATAACCACTGCAGTTTGCTACCACTACCTTGATCCAAACTAAAGCACCAGCTCTTTACCACTGTTGCTTTTACACCATCAGTTTAAACATCAACCAGTGAAAAGGGAAAATTACATCTTAGTAGCATTATAAAAATAGTTCTGATCTCATGAACCTCTGAAAGTACCTCAGGTTCCTCCAGGTTCCTCCAGGGTCCTCAAGCCACACTGAGAACCATGGCTCTATACTGTATAATCCAGGATAAACCTGGGGTTATGTCAGCTTCTTCACTGATCAAAGTTCAGATTAAAGCCCAACCCTGAGCTCAGAAGCCTCAGGATCTGGACAATCTTTCTCTGGCCAGCCCTTGTCCCTCATCTCTCAGAGCTAGGCCAAGTCTCTTGAACTCCAAGCTCTAACTTACGATTCTCACTGAAGACCATCTATCCCTCAAGTCAGACCAACCATAGGCTGGACGAAACCTCAGTTCACCTCACCCTTAAGACACTCATTAGACTTCTAGCCACTCAGGGAAAGAGAAAAAAGAGCAGAACTCCCATCTGGAGCCCTTACTGTATGCCAGGCATGACATTCTTTAATTCAACTCTCACCTCCACTCTGCTAGCAAGGAAACTGAGGCTCAGGGAAGCAGGGTGCCCACGCAGATCTGTCTGACATGAAAGCTAAGCCATGGTGCCGCCTTCTGGTCAATTCCCACAGTCTCATTCCTGGCCCCGCCTGGACTTCCTCCCCTTCGTGTCTGCTGGCTGGTAAGGTTCCAGCATGCCTCACAACCAAAATTTCCTGAAATGAGAAAATTCCCAGCACCAGCGGTTTTAATCATCCAGTGTCTGAATTCCTAATAGTCACAAATCACTCAGATGTTGGAAACTATGAGACACACCACTCTCCGGAATAGATCATTGATAAAGTCTGAGCTGGGTTCACTTCTGCCATTGTTGGAGACCAGGCGGCGCAGGCTCTCCTTTGGGGAGTATTTCCACCCAAGCCGATGGTTTGTCATCTCTGTCTTTGTCCTGCACACGGGAGTTGACATCCTCTGGCCCCTGCCTCTTCCTCAGCACCAGGGGCTCCCTGGAAGAGCCAGGACCCATTCAAAAAAAGTCACAAAACAACTCCCCAGGATGTGACCAGGATAAGAATCACATCCTAAGATTCAGCTTCAGGAAAGTTTATCCCAAAATAAACCCAACACTGAAGTAAATAAAGCATTAGGAATATTTTGGGAGAGCAATTTCACAGAACTACAAAAAAGGAAAAAAAAGATACTATTGTCAACAGCCTTTGTTCAGACATTCTATATTTCTGGCACATCTTGTTAAGTGGTGGTTTTGTATCTGACATTTATGCAAGGGGGAAATGACCCATGTTTATGAAAATTATACCATTTCTTCTAAGGGTAAGAGTGTCCTTTAAGCACTGGTTTGAGATAGGGCAGAGAGCTTGATGAGGATTCAAGGTTGTGATGATTAAAGCCAGGGTAGGAGGAACATGTAATTTGTGCAAAAGAACCCGGGGAACAACAGTTAAGGAAGAACTCTGTTGAATATTTACAAAGGGGACGCTGCTTTGCAGTCTTGTTTCCCTAGGAGGAAGAGGGAACACAAACAGAAAGTTTTTATGATTTCACAGAACAAGAGAAGGCTCAACACTTGGCATAAAACAAGATAAAGTGTTTGGGATGATGGACACCCACTAAGCCCATCTCCACTTGCACATTCAACCAAAACAGACAGATTCTATTAGTATCAGCTTCACTAATGTGATTGCATTCATCCATTCATCCAATATTTAACAAATACTGTGTATTATACTCCGCTAAGCACTGGGAATGACACAGTGATGAAAACACAGTCTGTGCCCTTCAGAAGCTCTTAGGACAGCAAGAAAAACAGATCTGTGAAGAGGCGATGATAAGAAGGTAATGAGTGCTCTAAATTTTGACAGGAGGCCGGACGTGGTGGCTCACACCTGTAATCCCAGCACTTTGGAAGGCCAAGGAGGGCAGATCACCTGAGGCCAGGAGTCTGAGATCAGACAGGCTAACATGGCAAAACCCCATCTCTATTTAAAAAAAAAATATATATATATATATATATTTAGCTGGGTGTGGTGGCACGCACCTCTAGTTCCAGCTACTTGGGAGGCTGAGGCACAAGAATCAATTGAACCTGGGAGGCAGAGGCTGCAGTGAGCTGAAATTGCACCACGCATTCCAGCCTGGGCAACAGAGGGAGACTCTGTCTCTAAATTAATTAATTAATTAATTAATTAAAATAAATTTGATGAGGAAGTAGGAATCCAGGGAGGCTTCCTAGTGATGATGACAGCTGACCTCAAAATCCCAGAGAGGATGATGACTGGAGATGGATGCGGATGGTCATTCCAAAGATCTCAATCAACAACTTTCTTCAGTCTTTCCTCTTCAGTGCATTTATCACTCCATTTAAATTTTCCAGAATTGGTAAAACTTCTATGGGCCTTAATTGAAATATGGTAAGAATAACTTATTACATTTGACTTAGGAAAACTGCATGATCCAGTGGTGAAAAACCACAGGTCTGGGGACAGACAGACCTGGGTTTGAGTTCTGCCACTGCCACTTGCCAGCTGTGGGGACGTCACTCACCCAGTCAGGTCCATGCCCACCTCACAGGGATGTTGCAAGAAATAACATGAAGCAATTGAAGCATCTGGCACCTAATAATATTGTGTTCTTCCCCTAAGATCCTGTGACTACATCCCAAACATCCTCCAGTTCCATGGGTGACTGTTACAACCCCACAGCCTTCCTTCATCCCAGCTGCCACCATCTCTCACCTGCACTATGTGATAGCCTCTGGACTTTTGTCCCCACTTCCTACCTCTGTCCCCTTTGGTCTGTTTTTCACAGAGCAGCCAAAAATGCTTGAAAATGCATGGTGCTCAGGCCTTTTCTCCGCTTCACACACTCCCACAGTTCTCCCTTGACCTCTGATAAATTTGAAACTTTAGAACAGCTTTCATGGCCTTCATTGTTCAGCCCCTGCTCCCCTTTCAGCCTGGTCTGCCTCCCACTACCCCTTTCCACTCCATGCTCACGTTTGCCCATGGACTTCTGCCTGGAACACCATCCCTGCTGCACACCTCTTCTCCTGCATGCTAATGCCTCTCCATTCCCAATGCTTCCCGGAGGAAGCCCTATGCTTTGATGCTTCTTCCAGGAAGCAACCCATGATTTCTGACCACCACAACCACCCCAAGCAACACTGGATTCAGTGCTCCCTCTCTGTCCTTCCTCCCTTCCATTTTTTCCTCCATTTATCATAGTCTTACAATCTACTCCTCTGTATCCATCACTAGATAGTCATTTCTTAGGAATAGGTTTTGAAGCTTTTATCCCATATCTGACCTATTTTGAATGAATGAATAATCTCACAACTAATGAATGGCAGTGATGAGATTAAAACTCAGGTCAATCTCATCCCCAAACGTATGGGTTTCCATCATCCCAGTTGAAACCTAACTAAAAACTGTAGTGCCATCCCCCCTCCATTGCCCCACACCCCCAATGGGTCTGCTCCCACCAGTCCCCCACTCTGCCCCCCAACACACACACACACAAACACACACACACACACACCCCTAGCTTAGGGTCCCTCTATTTGGCATGGACTCACTTTCTGCCAGGAATGCATATTTTCCTTGCGGGCTGAGGCACTATATGGACTGTACTAAAAACACTCAACCCACTGATTCTGGTGAAATCATTTTGGAGTGACAAGGATAGGCAGGGACTTTCCTGGGCTCAGGACTCTAGCCGGGGAGTGGCAAAAGCCACACTGCAACTCAACTCAGGAGAAAATGCCTGGAAATTTGAGCCAGCTGTTTTTTTCTTACTCACCAAAGTGCATTGAGTCAACCCTTGATCTTTTGTCAATATTTGCAGACCGAAAACACGACAAACCACCCCCTGTGCCGCCAGAGTGTAGACACGAAATCCCCTGGGGTAAAACAGAAATTTCATAACTGGCTGTAGAGTTACTGTTTTTGCCTTTTGGAAGCTTCCACCTTGTGATGGGAAGAGCACTGTCAGCCCAACACAGAAACTCTGCCGCCTGGAGTCACGTGGATCCAGATGCAAAGGGACTTGAATGTCATGCTAAAGAGTTTGGGTAATAACAATGATAAAATGCTACTTATTGAGGTAGACGTGTTTAATGTGTCTTCTTTCATCCTGAAGGCTAAGAATTTGTACAGCCATGTTACAGATTTGGAAAATGATGTGAAGAGAAGCTAAGAGATTTGCCATTGCCACTCAGCTGCCAAAGGTCAGAGGCAGGATTCTAGTCTGTCCCCTTTGTTCCATCACCCCTGCCTTCCCCTGGGCCCAGCCACCATCACCTCTCCCTGGGGGAGCTCCTAATTGTTCTCCCTTCTTCCTCTTGTGCCCTCCTCCAACCTATCTCCAGCCAAAGTGATCTTTAACAATGTAAACCCAGTTGTATCACTCTTTCCAGTATAATGGTCATTACTTCTACTTCTCAGCCTCCATCCTCCAGCCATTGTCCGGCAATTCGGGCAGAATTCACTCCTGCTCAGAAGGTGAGTAGATGCGGTAGTGCCACTGGCTCTGCTACAGGAATTGGTTAGCAGGACTTTGCATCTACCTGGCCACAGACATTGGGAAGGTGTGAAAAAAGGCCGTCAGCTGGATGCTCAAGACTGAATTCTGAGATTGTGGGGGTGATGCTCTTGCTCTCATTCCTGTCTGCAGGTAGCCATCCTGTGAGGAAGAAACCAGCCCAAGGAAGATACTAACCTACAGAAGAAGGACGTGGCCAGAGTAATCACATAGACCCAGAGTTGGAGCCCTGACTGTACCACACCCCAAGCCTTCCCACCTTTCAACCTCTCAGTGATGGTGAACCAATAAATCCTTTCTATTGTTCAAGCCAGTGTGAGTTAGGTTCGCTATAACTTGCTGCAGAAAGTCTCCTGAGTGGTTCAGATACCTGTTGGTGCTCCTGGAATTGCATCCAGATGCCCTACCTTAGTATTAAAATCTCACTCAACTCTAAGATCAGTGAGTCGGGAGGGTGAGGGCTAGATTTTCATTGACCCTGGTATTGCCAGCTCCTGCTAGACATCAATCTGGCACAGAGCAGACAATGTTAACTTTTTTTCCTTAAAGGAGTAAAACCCAGGTCTCTTTTCAGTGTCTTATCAGCCTCCCAAAGGCAGGGAATCCCACTGGGATCCCTGATCACCTACCAGAGCCACCTCTCTGCAGTCGACTGCATTTTGCTAGACATCGGCCTTGCTGTCCACCTTCCCCATCAGCGTCCTCACGGAGACCACCATGAGGGAGGGGCAGCAGGTCTGAACTTGAGGCTATGTCCAGCAGTGTGTCTGAGCTCCAGGTACCCAGGAGGGGTCCATGGTCAAGCAATGCCCAGGGCACAGGATGGTGCAAGCAAGATGTAAACAAGATGCAAGCAAGATGGTGCAAGGAGATGCAAACAAGATGTTTGCAAGGAGATGCAAACAAGATGGTGCAAGGAGAGCCTCCAAAACAGTCTGGAATTCACACAAGTAAATGGGAGGGGCTTCAGAGCCATTGTGATTTGGGCAGCGATAAATATGACCAACAGGGTGACCAGTGGACCATGAGAAACATCCACGTGTAGGTTCAAAGAACATTGCATTCCTTTGTTTATCTAACCCACATCCTCCTTCCTGTCTTAGGGCCTTTGCACTGCCCTTTCCTCAGACTGATTGCCCAGTTACTCTACCTCATGACCAACCTCTGTCTTAACTCTCTGCAGAGTGCTTATCAATGGCTGATTGCATTTGTTTGCTTTTGTTTCTCTGTCCATGAGAGCAAGGACCTTGATTGTCTTATTTATCACTACTTCTCTCATATCAAAAATCCCTCCATAGTCCTGACTCAACAGCTCATGCCTATAATCCCAGCACTTTGGGAGGCTGGGAAGGGAGGATTGCTTGAGGCTAGGAGTTTGAGACCAGCAACATGGCAAGACCCCATTAAAATAAAATAAAATAAAAATTATCCAGGCGAGGTGATGTGTGTCTGTAGTCCCAGCTACTGAGTGGGGCTGGGGTGGGAAAACCACTAGGGCCTGGGAGGTTGAGGCTGCAGTAAGCCCTGATCACAACGCTGCATTCCAGCCTGGGTGACAAAGCGAGACCCTATCCCCCCGGCAAAAAAAACAAAAACAAAAACAAAACTCCCCCCATAAACACACATTAAATAAATGAACAGTTGCCCTGCCCCCTCCACTCAGAGGCCCACCCCCTTCAATTGTGAACTTGGTCTCATCAGTCAAGTACATTCAGATGTGATCTCCTCACAGGCGCCTCCACCTCCCTCATCCCATGTAATCCCTCCTCCCCCACCTCACTTATTTCCTTCATGCTCTTTAGGGCAATATAAAATTATCTCATGTATTTGTGTTTACTTGTTAGTTACCTGCCTTTCTCCTGCGAATGTAAACTATATCTTTCCTTGTCCCCAGGGGAGATCACTTCCAGACTTTAAGTAGGTGCTCAATAAACTTTTGTGGCGGGAATGAACAGCAAGGGAGGAAATGAATCTCCAGGGCTCTGGAACCAGTGGACATAAGAAGATAAAGAAAGAATCAAAGTTGATTTCAGAGTAATTCTGTGAGGTAAACAGGGTGGTTTTTTTCTACCATGGCTGTTGAGAGACGAGGAAAGCAAAGTTTACAATGTTGTGACCTCATCAAAATAGCTTGTCTGGTGAAGTCCATAGTTGAACTTGGGTCTGATTCCTTTTCCAGTTCCTTTTCTTTTGAATCATGCAGCTTTCCTGTTGAAACTCATCTACATAGATGCTAAAAGTATCAGCAATCTCCTCTCTGCAAGTCGCTCCAAATTCTTGCAAGGTGGAGCATGGCTGTTTGAGAAGCCATCACTGAATCTCCTAATGTGTTGGCCCTCACAAGGCTGCAGTTATATCGCTTTCATGAGACACCAGCAACCAATAGCAGCCTGGCATTGTAAAAGTTTCTCCGTGCCTTCGTGCTACAGCCAGGCCTCTGGCTTCTCTCTTTCTCTCAATTATTACCTTAACCATGCCCTGGAGACCTAAGGAGCCAGTTTATTTTGACTGGGAGATTGTTAAACTGCAGGAGGCAAACCAAAGACACTGCCAGGCTGTGATTTCCATTGCTCCACATGACCAGGGGGTGCTGAGAATAGCCAAGGCCGCTTCCTGCTGGAGGAGGAAATGGCAGTTTCCTCAACTCCAGGAAACCTTACTTCCTCTCTGGTGCCTAGCTCCGTGTTAACCAATTAGACAGCTTCTTCCCACCCCAGACCCCAGAGACCCGGCCCAAGCCTGGAGAAGACATCCTGTTTCCCCTGAGGAAGTGGCCCAGATTGAAGGAGCCACTAGGGTATTTGAGGGGGGAGTGAGTAGGGAGTAGGGCAGGAAGGGGCTGACAAGGAGTAGTAACAGTGGTATCCAGTGTCTACTAAGAACCACAGCCCCACTGCCACCCCCACTCCTTTGTCCTGACCCTGAGAGATCTCAATGCACTTGGCAAACTCTTACTGGCCTTTGTAGTCCAAAGTCTTCCCGTGATCCCGTCTCATCCTCAAGCCGGCTCCTCCATCCACCGTCTCTCTTCTGTATACCATCCCAGTCCAAAACACAATGCCAGCCCTTTCTTGGTTTCTACAGAAAACAGGCTCACACCACACATTCCAGGAGTTTAGAAACGTTGCTGAGCACTAAGTGGGCACCAGGCACCATCACATTGCCTGGCAGATAGCCTCATGCAGACAGCTCTGGAGCCAAGCTTCCTGGGTTCAAATCCTGCTTCATATCCTCTGTCCCCAGCTAGCTATGCCTTGTCGGGTGGGTCATTTAACCCTCTGGGTCTCATTTTTTCCTCTATTTCCCCCTATCTATGGGAATAGTGGTAATTAGCCCTTCAGGGTTGTAGGGAGATGCAATGGGACAAAGCACTGGGCTTATAGCTCAGTACTCAGTGATGGTCATTATTGTTTTACTCTGCCTCCTCCTCCATTTCGGAAGCAGGGGGGAAAAAACGCACAAAACCCTTTCCTTGTCTCTTGAAGAATAATAGTACCCTTTCCCTGAAACCTTGGCACTAGCCAGTATCCATGCTTGGGAATTTCAGTTTCTACAGGAACCAATCTTCCGAGGATATTTTTCTGAGTGCTCTACTTGTGTGTGGGATTTGAGTGAATAAAACCTTCCCAATCTCATTATCATTTATTACCATTTAATATCAACCACTCACTAAATAACTTATTATCTCATTTTTAAAAATAAACTTCCTATCTTAGAATAGTTTTAGACTCACAGGAAAAATTGCAGAGGTAACAGAATTTCCAGATACTTCACACCCAGTTTCCCCAAATCTTAACATCATATGTGAATGTGGTATATTAGTTAAAATTAATGAACCAATATTAATATACTATAATTCACTAAAGCCCATGGTTCCTCCTTAGGTTTTACATAGTGTCTTTCTTTCTTTTCTTTTCTTTCTTTCTTTCTTTCTTTCTTTCTTTCTTTTACTTTCTTTCTTTCTTTCCTTTCTTTCTTCCTTCCTTCTTTCCTTCTTTCTTTTTCTTTTTCTTTCTTTCTTTCTTCTTTCTTTCTGTCTTTTCTTTCTTCCTTTCTTTTCTGTTCTTTCTTTCTTTCTCTCTCTCTCTCTCTTTTTTTTTTTAGATGCAGTCTCCCTCTGTCACACAGGCTGGAATGCAGTGGCACGATGTCAGCTCACTGCACCCTCCGCCTCCCAGGTTCAAGCAGTTCTTCTGCCTCAGCCTCCTGAGTAGCTGGGATTACACCACCACCATGCCTGGCTAATTTTGTGTATTTCTACTAGAGATGGGATTTCAGTACGTTGGCCAGACTGGTTTCAAACTCCTGACCTCAGGTGATCCACCCGCCTTGGCCTCCCAAAGTGCTGAGATTACAGGAGTGAGCCACCACGCCTGGTCCCTAGTGTCCTTCTGTTCTCAGATCCCACCGAAGATACCACATTATACTTAGTTACCAAGTCTCTTCGGGATCCTCTGGCCTGTGACAGCTCCTTGTTTTCATGACTTTGACAGTTTTGTGGAGTATTGGCCAGGTATTATGAAGAGTATCTCTCAGTTAGATTTTGTCTCATGTTTTTCTTTTGACTAGATAGACTGGGGTCTGGGACTGAAAGGAAGAACACCACAGAGGTGACATTTTGGTACATACTGTAGATATGACTCAGCACCACTTTTGTTGACCTGATCACTTGGCTTAGGTCGTGTTTGTCAGGTTTCTCCACTAACATTACTTTCTTTTTTTCCTCCGTCTATACTGTATTCTTTGGAAGGAGGTCGCTATGCACAACACACATTTAAGGATTAGGGAGTTATACTCCGCCTCCCACAGGGTGGAATATCTATAGAAATGATTTGAAATTCTGCTGCACGAAAAAATTATATATTTTCCCCGATTCGTTTATTTCTTTATTTATTTATATCAGTATGGACTCATAGGTTTTTATTTTATACTTTGTATTATAATACTACATTATTATTATTATTATTATTATTATTTGGAGACAAGGTCTCGCTCTGTAGCCCAGGCTAGAGTGCAGTGGTGCGATCTCAGCTCACTGCAATCTCTGCTTCCTGGGCTCAAGCGATCCTCCCATCTCAGCTCTGCCAAGTAGCTGGGACTACAGGGATACGCCACCATGCTCGGCTAATTTTTTAAATTTTTGTAGAGATGAGGTCTCACTATATTGCCCAGGCTAGTCTCCATCTCCTGGGTTCAAGCCATCCTCCCGCCTTGGCCTCCTAAAGTGCTGGGATTACAGACGTGAGCCACCATGCCCAGCTACCTTATTTATTTTGTTGTTCAAATGTTCAGCTTTGGCCATTGGGAGCTCTT